GGGGCTTCAGAAATGAGGCCAAGCTGCACCTTGCGGAGGGGTCCCGGGGTGCTATGGTGGGGGGGGGGGAGGGTGAAAGTTGCAAATGTGACGGAAGAGGTAGTAGTCATGTATGCTAGGAGACAACATGGTGAGGAGTGCAGATGAGCAGATTACAAATATGTGCTCAAGATAAAAAGGACATGGGGGCAGGAAAGAGTCCTTTGCTCCCATTCCAACTTGTCTGAGGTAAAATTTTGTGTGTGTACACATGTCCAGCATGTATATGTGTGTGTGTGTTTCTTTTTGCACGATCATACCATAACCATGATTTCAACTTACTTTACTCAACCATTAGTTTTGAACATCTCTCCCTGTTAATATATAAAAATCAGCCTAAAAACTTGTAATGGTTGCTTATTCCATTACAGGAGGGTACGGAATGCCCCTAAGCTGTAGGATTTCTGCTTGTTTCCAATATCCTGCTATTTGAAATCCAGCAATTTGTCTTTGCCAGTGGGATAACCCTACAGAAGAATTTCTGGGTCAGGGGCAACTCCAAGTACATTCCTACCAACAGTTCAAATGACACTTACTGAGCACTTACCATGTGTACAAAAGCGGTAAAATAAAACAGCTTTTATTTTAATGACACTGAAAGTAAGCTGATCCTGAGCTCTCGACCCCAAAAAGGAGGAGACCATTTATTGAGAGATGAGTTGAGGGCCTTTCTACTCTTTGTATATATTTTTATATTGCATGCACATATATATTTTATTATAAATATTAAATGTGCATTCTAACATGTGAATTATGAAACCTCAGTGCATATCAGGTAATTACATGGCATATTTAACCCAATCTAGTATACATCATAAATTCTTTTCACTGTCTTCAGCACAACCCAGTGTGAGATGAAATTATGTGCATAAAAAAAAAATCACCCTGCACTTTTTTAGAATTCTCTCCCAGGGGTTGCAAGGATTGCCTGTGGTGGAGAACCAAATTAGTCTGTAGCCTCAAACCCACTCCCACCCCTCATAACAGCCCCAGCATGAAGGAACATTAACATCAGGCAATAGCTCAGCTTGCTGATTTTCCAGCTGGAAAACCAGTGAGTAGGAAGCAGGGCTCCGCACTTGGGTTCTGATTTCCTACAAAGCAAAATTCTCATAGCTGTCCCCACGCAGACCCTTTCTCTGCCCCCACCCTTTGATCAAAAGTGAAAGTCACTGCCACAGCACACAAGCCTTGGCCTCAAAGATCCATGTTACTCACTGGTTCCCAGAAAAGCACTTGTCTGGGACACGGCTTAAGGAGCAGCCAAGAAGAGTTCATTGATCTCTGTCTCCAGGGCTCAGTGGCTTTGGCACCAGGAGGGGCCAAGGCTTTCCAGATGTTCCATGGAATGGCTGGACCAGCTCCAGGAAAGCCCGGCAGACCTACAAAGGGACGCCTGTTCCCCAAGTGTGCGTCATTCTAAATCACAAGCTCTCTGAGGAGAGCGCCCTCCAAAGCAGGCAGGGCCTTCATAGAGAGGTCTGCAGGGTCCTCACTCCGTGTCCTGGTCCACCACCCAGCTCTGGAGCTCTGCCACTTCCATGACACCCCTCCCCCAGCATTCACATGCACAAACATTTTCCCCAAACTACCGGCTCTGGTTTCTATACGAACAAAGCAAAAGCCAACAAGGTTTGAAAAAGCATCAAACTTGATGGCAACCATGCAGATGGGCAGAGAAAAAATCCTGGGAAACTCTGGCCTCATCGTAGCAATCTGCCCTCAGAGGACTGCCAGCCCACCAGGGGCCGGAGCTACAAATCTAAAAACTGAGCTCTCCACTCCCAAGGGTGCAATTCCCTTCCTTTGGCTCCACCTACCCTCCCTGGAAAGAAGAAGTCCAGAGAATACACTGAATAATGCCCTACACAAGTTGGAAAGTTATCTGAACAGGGAGCAAATCCTAAATACAGCATTGGGACTATCACACTGCGATGATACCATGACTGCTACGAATACCACTGGCTCAAACTCACTGCACATTTTTGAGGACGTAGTTTGTGCCAGGCACTAATCCAGATTGCCAGGAATGCAATGACAACCCAGCAAGATAAAATACTTGCCCTCTGAAGCTTATATGCTAGAAAAGCAAATAGATAACAAGTGAAAAAAAATGTCAATAATAATTTCAAAAGGCACGCAGTGGAATTAAAAAAAAAAAAAAAGCAACTCAACAACAAAAAAGATTTCCAGAGAAGATGTTATGGTATAGAAATGAAGACTGTATGACAATGTAGAAAAAAAGTACACTTTCCATCTATGTGTATGGTGCTTTACTTTCAAAGTGGGTTTTCATGCATATAAACCCCTCCCGCCATCACCCTCTGTTAGTGAGTAGGATGGGAATGCATCAGGACGCTCACATGATTGAGCAGAAATAGAAGCCCAACCGTGTGAAATGACATGTTCTAGGTCCACACGTTTCACTCCTAGGATCTCTATTTACCAGATGGCCATAGATAGAATGTAAATATCAGCCTCATATAAACATTAGGGGAAGATATTTGCAACAAATGTAACTGACTCTGAAGCTATAAGATTTAGAAAAATCTATGTAAAAGTTTAAAAAGTAATGAACAACTATCTTTCAGGAGTGATCAAAAACCTGTAGATACATAAAAAGTTTCTCAATGTCACTAATAATCAGAGAAATACAAATTAAAACTCCAAGAAAGCATTCCCCACCATACTAGCAGAAATGTAAAAGTCTGATAATAACAACTATGAAGCTATAAAGCGATTGGAAACCGTAAACATGTCTGGTGGTAGCAGCAACTGGCATGATAGTTTGGACAACAATTTATCATTACCTAGTAAAGTTGAACATACACAAAAATATTGATCCATCATTTCCACACGAAAAGAAACCTAAAGAAACTGTAGAAGCAAGTATGCCCCAGATATTGTCCCTGATAGCAAAAACTTAAAAACGACCCAGGTATCCTGAATAGAACACCTAAATGAATTTTAATATATTAATATAATGGAATAAAAAATGAATGAACTACAGCCACCCACATCAATATGGATGAATCTCAAAAATATAACACTGCATGAACCACAAAAGAATTTACATAGGCTGTTACCACTTAAATAAACCTTCAAAAGTAAGTAAAAACAGGGGTGCCTGGGTGGCTCAGTTGGTTAAGCGTCTGACTTCAGCTCAGGTCATGATTTCATGGCTCGTGAGTTTGAGCCCCACATCGGGCTCTGTGCTGTCAGCTCACAGCCTGGAGCCTGCTTCGGATTCTGTGTCTCCCTCTCTCTCTCTACCCTTCCCCCACCACTCATGCTCTCTCTCTGTCTCAAAAATAAATAAACAGTAAAAAAAAAAAAAAAAGATAATTAAAGTAGGTAAAAAGAAAACAATGTATTATTTAAGGAAACATACATACAGGTGGTCAAATCATAAAGAAATGGGAGAAAACAACACACAATTCAGGACAGTAGTTACCTTTGGGGATAAATGGTGAAGACAAGATCAACAAAGGGTCACAGGGGGCTACAAAGGCACCAGAAATGTGGTATTTTTCTATCTGGATCATAGGTACATATGATCCATGATATATAATATATAATTTCCAATTAAAAATAGTGGGAAGAGGGTAAGGGAGAAAGACAAAGGCTGATTTAAATTAACCTTAAAGGAGAGAGTGATACAAGGGAAACAGATCACAAGAGGGTATTATTTTCTCCAGTCAAACCAAGAAATTATCATTTTTCATTTTCTAAGGCAAGACAGTCTGGTGAGGGCCTCGGGCAGTATGGGAAGGAAATTGAAAGTACTCTGGTTTGATTTATGTTCTAAAAATTTAAAAATAAAAACAAAATAGGTCCTTCTGCAGTCCAAGCTAGGTCTTTCTAGTTGGCCTGGCAGTGTAGTGGCTTCAAAGGCCATAATTACAGCCAGGGAGAAGTCCAGTGGCTGGACGGACATCTGTAATTAGGCAGGTGAAGTCTGCCTTACAGGTTCCAGGTGCTTGGCCGACAACCCTGCTGACGCCAAACCCACCTATGACAGGCAGTTCTTGGCATCCATACATTTCGCATTCTGACAACACACATGGATGCTCGGCTGACAGCTGGAAATCGCGTTTCACAGTGGTGTTCTCTGCCTGCCAAGCCACTGTGCCACCTTCATGCCTTCACCATACTTACCTGGACAACGTCACTCATTAATTCATGCAACAAACATTTCCTAAGTATGCCTGGACCCTGGTGCTGTGTGAGGCCATGAAGGTAGAGCAGAGAACAAAACAGACATCATCTCGGCCTCCATAGAACTTAGACTCTAAAGAAAGTGATTTTGCAATTATTTTAATATTTTGCTGTTTCCTGCTTTTTTTGTTGTTAAATAAAAATAATAGTAAGAAAAAATGAGAATATTGGCCTTTGTGATAAGATACATCTTTTCTACTTCGGAGAATAGATTCTAATATAGCAAATCAGCAAAGGGTTCTCAGGGGGCTGCAAAGGCCCCTAGTTAGCCTCAGCTGGACCCTTCCAGCCTGTAAACAGGTCGACAGGTTGCCCAAATGACCAAGTGGGGAAGAATGCTAGAAATAGGATTAAAGACAGTATCTAAACAACAAGACACAATGAGAGCCATTTTATAATATATTTTTGTTCTCTGACATACGTAGAAAAATGCTGCTACAGACCACGTCAAAATAAATTACTGCCTATACTTTCTTCTTTTTTTTTTATTTATTTATATATGAAATTTATTGTCAAATTGGTTTCCATACAACACCCAGTGCTCATCCCAAAAGGTGCCCTCCTCAATACCCATCACCCACCCTCTCCTCCCTCCCACCCCCCATCAACCCTCAGTTTGCTCTCAGTTCTCAACAGTCTCTTATGCTTTGGCTCTCTCCCACTCTAACCTCTTTTTTTTTTTTTTCCTTCCCCTCCCCCATGGGTTCCTGTCAAGTTTCTCAGGATCCACATAAGAGTGAAACCATATGGTATCTGTCTTTCTCTTGCCTATACTTTCTTCTAATAGATTTATGGTTTTAGGTCTCAACATTTAGGTCTTTAATCCATTTGGAGTTTAATGTTGTGTATGGTATAAGAAAGTGGTCGAGTTTCTCCTGCATGAAGCTGTCCAGTTTTCCCAATATCATTCAATAAATCACATTGAAAAGACTCTTTTCCCCACTACCTTCACCATAGATTAGTTGGCCATAAAAATGTGAGTTTATTTATGGGCTCTCTATTCTGTTCCATTGATCTCCATGTCTGTTTTTGTGCCAGCTCCATATTGTTTTGATTACTACAGCTTTGTAATGCATCTTGAAATCCGGGATTGTGATACCTCCAGCTTTGTTCTTTCTCAAGATTGCTTTGGCTACTCAGGGTCTGCTGTGATTTCATACAAATTTTAGGATTATTGGTTCTGATTCTGTGAAAAATGCTGTTGGCATCTTATAGGGATTGCACTGAACCTGCAGATTACTTTAGGTAGTGTGGACATTTTTTTAAATGTTTATTTATTTTTGAGAGAGAGAGAGAGAGAGAGAGAGAGAGAGAGAGAGAGAAATGGGGTACAGGCAGAGAGGGAGGGATACAGAGAATCCAAGGCACCCTTCAGGCTCTGAGCTGTCAACACAGAGCCTGACACGGGGCTCAAACTCATGAATTGCAAGATCATGACCTGAGCAGAAGTCAGACTCTCAACCAGCTGAGCCACCCAGGTGCTCCAGTAGTGTGGATATTTTAACTGTATTAATCCTTCCAATCCATGAGCATGGAATATTTTTCCATTTATTTGTGTTGTGTTCAGTTTCTCTCATCAGTGTTTACAGTTTTCAGAGTGCAGAGCTATTATTTCCTGGTTAAGATAATTCCTAGGTATTTCATTCTTTTTGGTGCAACAGTAAATATTTTAATTCTCTGCAATGTAATCTCCCATTACAACATTAACTCAGTTATTCAAATTTTCACTATTTTAACCTCCAGACACCTTTTTAGAAGTGTGTACAAATTTAAGGACCTACCTACAAACATAGCTGTTGGTTCCCTGAGCATGAGGAAATTCAAGAGATACTTAGGATTTCGTCTTTCTGTAAGGATTGGTCTTTTCTTTTCTTTTCCTTTTATTTCTTTATTCTTTCTTTCTTTACTTCTTTCCTTTTATTTCTCTCTTTATTCCTCTATTTATTCCTTTCCTTACTCCTTTTTTTAATAAAGGAATAGTTAGATATTCCATAAGTATCAAGAGGTTAAACCAGCAACACATGAAAGTTCTGAAGGTAAAATATCAAGCATTTAAAAATATATAGGTAAACGTTAAGGGGAAATGGGTCAGTTGCCTTCCTGGTGCCCCAGCTCATACAGGCAATAAATTATTAATTGGAATCCTTATACCAATACATCACAAACCATGGTGAGAATTTATCTATTCAAAATCAAACCATTTCTCAGGGCAAGAAGTTAAGTAAAGTCTAATCAAAGGAACTTCCATTCTTCCTACATCTATAGCTCCTATGCTTCTTAAATCTGCGGAGAAACTCTTTACTCACGGCACACATGAACTGATTCTGTTTCCCCAAAGTCTGAGGAGAAGATACCCTCAGCACGCATGAACTGATTATCTTTCCGCTAAGTCTAAGGAGAAACTCCTGATGCTCAGCACACATGATCTGGTGCTGTTTCCCTCAAGTCTGAGGAGAAACTCCTTACCCCCAGCACGTATGAACTGATTCTGTTTTCCGCAAGTGTGTGGAGAAATTCCTTACCCCAGCACAAATGAAATGACGCTGCTTCCCCTAAGTCTGAGAAGAAATTCCTGACCCTCAGCACCCATGAAGTGATGCTGTTTCCCTTAAGCCTGAGGAGAAATTCATTACCCCCAGCACGCGTGAACTGATGCTCTTTCCCTAAGTCTGAAGGGAAACTCCACACCTCCAGCACGCATGAACTGATGCAGTTTCCCTTGAGTGTGAGGAGAAACTCCTTACCCCCAGCACACCTGACTTCATACTATTTCCCTGACTCTGAGGAGAAACTCCTGGCCCAAGCACACAAACACTGAACCTGTTTCCCTTAAGTCTGAGGAGAAACTCCTTACCCCCAGCACGCATGCACTGATGCTGTTTCCCCTATGTCTGAGGAGAAACTCCAAAATTCCCGGCACCTATGGACTGATTCTGTTTTGCCTAAGTCTGAGGAGAACCTCCTTATCCACTGCACATGTGAACGGATGCCGTTTCCCTTAATTCTGAGGAGAAACTCCTTACCCAGGGCATACATGAACTATTGCTGTTTCCCGTACATCTGAGGTGAAACTCCTTACGTCTAGCACGCATAAAGTGAAGCTGTTTCCATTAGTCTCAGGAGAAACTCCTCACCCCATGCATACATGAACGGATGCTGTGTCACGTACATCTGAGGAGAAAGTCCTTACTCCTAGCATGCCTGAACTGATGCTGTCTCGCTTAATTCTGAGGAGAATATCCTTACCGAAGGCACGCTTGAACCTGATGCTGTCTCACTTAATTCTGAGAAGAAATTCTTTACCCCCAGCACCCATGAAGTGATGCTGATTCCCGTAAGTCTGAGGAAAACTGCTTACCCCAAGCACACATGACCTCATGCTGTATCCTTTAAGTTTGAGGTGAAACTCCTTACCCCCAACAACAATGAACTCATGCTGTTTCCCCTAAGTCTGAGGAAAGCCTCCTTATGCCCAGCACACCTGAACTGATTCTGTTTCCCTAAGTGTGAGGAGAAAATCCTTACCCCCTGCACACATGAACTGATGCTGTTTCCCCTCAGTCTGAGGAGAAACTCCTTATGCCAAGCACATATCATCTGTTGCTGTTTCCCATAATTCTGAGGAGAAACTCCTTACCCAGCATGCTGAACTGATGGTGTTTCCCCTTAGTCTGAGGAGAAACTCCATGCCCCCAGGATACATGAACTCATGCCATCCCCCTAAGTCTGAGGAGAAAACTCCTTAATGCAGGCACCCATGATCTGTGGCTGTTTCCCTTCATTCTGAGGAAAAACTCCTTACCCCCAGCACGCATGCACTGATGCTGTTTCCCCAAAGTCTGAGGAGAAACTCCTTACCCCCACCATGCATGAACTGATGCTGTTTCCCCTAAGTCTGAGGGGAAACTCCATAACGCCCAGGACCTATGTACTGATTCTGTTTTGCCTACGTCTGAGGAGAAACTCCTTACCCTCTGCCCACATTAACTGATGCTTTTTCTACTAATTCTGAGGAGAAACTCCTTACCCATGGCATTCATGAACTGATGCTGTTTCCCATACATCTGAGGTGAAACTCCTCACCCCTAGCACGCATGAAGTGATGCTCTTTCCCATAAGTCTGAGGAGAAACTCCTTACCCCAAGCACACATGAACGGATGCTATTCCACCTAAGTCTGAGGAGAAACTCTGTACTACTGGCTTCCTCAACTGATGCTGTCTTGCTCATGTCTGAGGAGAATATCCTTACCCCAGGCACACATGAACTGATGCTGTCTCACTTCATTCTGAGAAGAAATTCCCTACCCTCAGCACCCATGAAGTGATGCTGTTTCCCTTACGTCTGAGGAGAAACTCCTACCCCCAGCACGCATGACCTCATGCTGTATCCTTTATGTCTGAGGTGAAACTCCTTACCCCCAGCACCCATGAACTGATGCTCTTTCCCCTAAGTTTGAGGAGAACCTCCTTATACCCAGCACACATGCACACATGAACTGATTCTGTTTCCCTTAAGTGTGAGGAGAAATCCTTAGCCCCAACCCACATGAACTGATGCTGTTTCCCCTAAGCATGAGGAGAAACTCCTTAACCCTGTACACATGAAATGGTTGCTTTCAGCCTTTCTTATTGCCAAGTAGCATTCCATTGTATATACAAACCAAATCTATTTTATCCATTCATTAGTGGATGGACATTTAGGCTCTTTCCATAATTTGGCTATTGCTGAATGTGCTTCTATAAACAAAACCATGCCATCTGCAGCAATATGGATGTAACCGAAGGGCATTATGCTAAGTGAAATAAGTCAGGCAGAGAAGGACAGATATCATATGTTTTCACTCATATGTGGATCTTGAGAAACTTAACAGAAAACCTTTGGGGACAGGAAGGGGGAAATTAGTTACTAACAGAGAACAGAGAAAAATTAAAGAATGAAAAAATAGTTTTAGACAGATTTCCTTTTCTTTGTATATAATACTATTTTGTTGTAAATGATAGGCACCCATAGATACACATTTAAGTAATCAATGATGAGGTTCTCCACCAGGGACACCTGTTATATTGATACATCCCTTCCTTATTTTAAACCTAGCCCAGGAGAACTTTGTTTGCTGTTTTATTGTTGTTGTTTGTTTGTTTTCACAAGTGTAAGCCAAATATATTCAATAAATATGTTAAAATAATAGTTCTGTTTCCAAAAAACCACTGAAGTCAAAGTGTTTTAAATTAATTCTATTTGGATTTCAATCCATCTTTCTTTGTTTTTGAATCCTATTAATACTAATTTGTGTAAGGGGCCTGGTAAAACCAGAAATGCCCTTAACCTTTTCTATGTTGGGAAAACTTTGAAGTTTATGTCACTAAGACTGAGAGTCTTTCATTATAACACTGGGAAGTACAGGGGTTACACTGCAGTGATCAAGGCACTTGTCCTTCACAATCACCTTCTGTGTTCATGTAAGTACAGGGAAGGGAATTCTCATCCACCCACTGGGTCACACTCTGATTCCATATATTCAAGAAGGCAGGTATGCCAAGGGGAACCCTGAGGTGTGCTGTGTCCCAGAAATACACCTACCCTAACAATGTATTTTTCCCTCAGGGTTCCCACGCGCTAGATCTATGAAAAGAACAGAATCAGGGCCCAAGCCTGGCACAGAATGATTCAGTGAGAAGCCAAGACGTTCCCCATGCTGCCTCCAAGGCAATGATGGTGCTACAGATGGGGAGTTTCAACTCAGTCCTACACACTGCCCACATACTCGGCCAGCCCCCGAGCCCAAGCTCTCAGCCTGAACTGCAACATGAACCTCCCCTCATCTCTGGCATCCTGGGGAACCACTGCCTGCTGTTGCTTTGGATCATGTCTCCGCGCAGGACCTACCCTAACCATAGCCTTGGCTCTGGCCTTAGGTGTCTCTCGTCCTAGCTCTGAAGAATCAATTGAATTGAGACCCATGACCTTGCAAATCTTGTCAGGGAAGAAGGGGGAACATCACCATGACATTTTCATGTATGCGGTGGAGCTCCAGAAAGGGATCCCCAGCTAAAGCATAAGCCTTTCCCACAGGATCAACCAATGCCTGAACACAAATCCTAAGGCTGACTGGCACCCTCACATTGCCCCCAATTCACTCTGCCCTAGAGATCACTGCACAGCTGGCTTTTTTCCCCTTGCCATCTCTGGGAACCAAACCCTAACCCCATGATGCCACTGCACATGCTCCTACAGATAGGAAGAGAAAGACAAAGGTCATTATTTCATCCCATGTAACTGTGAACTAAACACTTCTTTCAGATCCTCCATTCTTACTAAGGAGTTTCTATTACCATAGAGCAAAAGTCAAACTTATGAGATCTATTCAGAATTTAACCCAGAAATGACTTTAAGAAAATTTCTTTTCAGAAAGAGCTTTAAGCAATAAAAGATAAATTCTAGATTCCTTTTGTCCATGTTCATGAATTTATTTCTTACTCAACTCTTTCCCATACCATTTATGTAAAATGAGCTTTAGATTTCAAAAAAAAAAATGCAAAATTTTGATAACCAGTTGAAAAATACATTGATAATTAAAGACATCACAAATTAGTGCTTATAGGTACTGCATGAAAGGAAACTAGATAGTCAAACCTAATTCTGTAACCAGGCATAAACTGGTCACTTTGGGAAATAATGATTGAAAAAAAATTCCTTTTATATTTCACCTTAATCCCCTATATTTTCAATGTTCTTAACATCAGCAAGTTGGCAATCCATAACCTGTATGTGTAAGTTCAAAGAGAGATGTCCTCCAGATATGGTCCCTTGTTTCACTGCTGGTCTAGAAGAAATAGGTGCAGTAGCCAGAATACAGGATGAGTTGAGTGCTCAGAAAAAAATCACACCATGGACATAGTAAGAGAAGGAAAGAACTCTTCTGACCTCTTACTCTAAAACATGATACAAATCCAGTTCCAGAATCAATTCCCTTAATTAAAAGATGTACCTAAGGAACTGAGAATGTTGTAAAATGCTGTCCCATATTTGTAGGGCATTTCCTAAAATGATCCAATTAATATTAGCAGGGTCAGTTTTATACTGAGAAGCTGGTGTCCTATACTGCATCCTGGCTTTGCACTTTCGGTCCAGGTAAAGTGGTCATGAAGCTTGTGGCCATGGCGTACTGGGAAACACATGTCTGGAACTTCATCACTGAAAACAGCTTAAGACAAGTACCCTCATTTCTCATCTACTGAGGCTACAGAACACCACCATGAGTTGGAGATATAAAGAAATTTAATATCTGAACTATCGAAGGGCCCATATAGTGGGAGAGGCAGATACATAAACAGATTGTTTTAAAAACACTGTGGTCAAAGGTAACACCCAAGAGTAAAAAGTTGCAAGGTAGCATAAGAAGTTGTTTTGAGAAATGACAAAATAGCTCACGAAGCAGCAAAGGTTGAAAGTGGCTGCCTGTAGGAAAACATACTGTTGACTGTTGTAGACTCTTGACTGGTATTTTAAGGTTTGTGCACATGTAAGGTTGATGACAAACACAAAAAATTTGTTTCTTTTGCTTGGTTTCATCATCCCTGGGGGAAAAAAAAAAAAAAAAAACATCACCAACCCTTGATATACACTCCTTTTTTTTTCTTCAAATTTCTTCAAAGATGTTTTGTTCAATTCCTTTGTAAAAACATTGGTCACCATACAGTGGCAACACAATGAATCCAATTTTTTTTATTTTTTTTGAAATTTATTGTCAAATTGGTTTCCATACAACACCCAGTGCTCATCCCAAAAGGTGCCCTCCTCAATACCCATCGCCGACCCTCCCATCCCACCCACCCCCCATCAACCCTCAGTTTCTTCTTAGTTTTTAAGAGTCTCTTATGCTTTGGCTCTCTCCCACTCTAACCTCTTTTTTTTTTGTTTTTTGTTTTACTTCCCCTCCCCCATAGGTTTCTGTTAAGTTTCTCAGGATCCACATAAGAGTGAAAACATATGGTATCTGTCTTTCTCTGTATGGCTTATTTCACTTAGCATAACACTCTCCAGTTCCATCCACGTTGCTACAAAGGGTCATATTTCATTCTTTCTCATGGCCACGTAGTACTCCATTGTGTATATAAACCACAATTTCTTTATCCATTCATCAGTTGATGGACATTTAGGCTCTTTCCATAATTTGGCGACTGTTGAGAGTGCTGCTATAAACATTAGGGTACAAGTGCCCCTATGCATCAGTACTCCTGTATCCCTTGGGTAAATTCCTAGCAGTGCTATTGCTGGGTCATAGGGTAGTTCTATTTTTCATTTTCTGAGGAACCTCCACACTGTTTTCCAGAGTGGCTGCACCAATTTGCATTGCCACCAACAGTGCAAGAGGGTTCCCGTTTCTCCACATCCTCGCCAGCATCTATAGTCTCCTGATTTGTTCATTTTGGCCACTCTGACTGGCGTGAGGTGATATCTGAGTGTGGTTTTGATTTGTATTTCCCTGATGAGGAGCGACGTTGAGCATCTTTTCATGTGCCTGTTGGCCATCTGGAAGTCTACTTTAGAGAAGTGTCTATTCATGTTTTCTGCCCATTTCTTCACTGGATTATTTGTTTTTTGGGTGTGGAGATTGGTGAGCTCTTTATAGATTTTGGATACTAGCCCTTTGTCCGATATGTCATTTTCAAACATCTTTTCCCACTCCGTTGGTTGCCTTTTAGTTTTGTTGGTTGTTTCCTTTGCTGTGCAGAAGCTTTTTATCTTCATAACGTCCGGTAGTTCATTTTTGCTTTTAATTCCCTTGCCTTTGGGGATGTGTCAAGTAAGAAATTGCTACGACTGAGGTCAGAGAGGTCTTTTCCTGCTTTCTCCTCTAAGGTTTTGATGGTTTCCTGTCTCACATTCAGGTCCTTTATCCATTTTGAGTTTATTTTTGTGAATGGTGTGAGAAAGTGGTCTAGTTTCAACTTTCTACATGTTGCTGTCCAGTTCTCCCAGCACCATTTGTTAAAGAGACTGTCTTTTTTCCATTGGATGTTCTTTCCTGCTTTGTCAAAGATTAGTTGGCCATATGTTTGTGGGTCTAGTTCTGGCGTATCTATTCTATTCCATTGGTCTATGTGTCTGTTTTTGTGCCAATACCATGATGTCTTGATGATGACAGCTTTGTAGTAGAGGCTAAAGTCTGGGATTGTGATGCCTCCTGCTTTGGTCTTCTTCTTCAAAATTACTTTGGCTATTCGGGGCCTTTTGTGGTTCCATATGAATGTTAAGATTGCTTGTTCTAGTTTCGAGAAGAATGCTGGTGCAATTTTGATTGGGATTGTGTTGAAAGTGTAGAGAGCTTTGGGTAGTATTGACATTTTGACAATATTTATTCTTCCAACCCATGAGCATGGAATGTTTTTCCATTTCTTTACAGCTTCTTCAATTACCTTCATAAGCTTTCTATAGTTTTCAGCATACAGATCTTTTACATCTTTGGTTAGATTTATCCCTAGGTATTTTATGCTTCTTGGTGCAATTGTGAATGGGATCATTTTCTTTATTTGTCTTTCTGTTGCTTCATTATTAGTGTATAAGAATGCAACTGATTTCTGTACATTGATTTTGTATCCTGAAACTTTGCTAAATTCATGTATCATTTCTAGCAGACTTTTGGTGGAGTCTATCGGCTTTTCCATGGATAATATCATGTCATCTGCAAAAAGTGAAAGCTTAACTTCATCTTTGCCAATTTTGATGCCTTTGATTTCCTTTTGTTGTCTGATTGCTGATGCTAGCACTTCCAACACTATGTTAAACAACAGCGGTGAGAGTGGACATCCCTGTCGTGTTCCTGATCTCAGGGAAAAAGCTCAGTTTTTCCCCATTGAGGATGAAGTTAGCTGTGGGCTTTTCATAAATGGCTTTTATGATGTTTAAGTATGTTTCTTGTACCCCGACTTTATCGAGGGATTTTATTAAGAAACATTGCTGAATTTTGTCAAATGCCTTTTCTGCATCGATTGACAGGATCATTTGGTTCTTATCTTTTCTTTATTAATGTGATGTATCATGTTGATACATCCCTTCTGTTGATTTGCGAATGTTGAACCAGCCCTGCATCCCAGGAATGAATCCCACTTGAACATGGTGAGTAATTCTTTTTATATGCTGTTGAATTCAATTTGCTAGTATCTTATTGAGAATTTTTGCATCCATATTCATCAGGGATATTGGCCTGTAGTTCTCTTTTTTTTACTGGGTCTCTGTCTGGTTTAGGAATCAAAGTAATACTGGCTTCATAGAATGAGTCTGGAAGTTTTCCTTCCCTTTCTATTTTTTGGAATAGCTTGAGAAGGATAGGTGTTATCTCTGCTTTAAATGTCTGGTAGAACTCCCCTGGGAAGACATGTGGTCATGGACTCTTATTTGTTGGGAGATTTTTGATAACTGATTCAATTTATTCTCTGGTTATGGGTCTGTTCAAGCTTTCTATTTCCTCCTGATTGAGTTTTTGGAAATGTGTGGGTGTTTAGGAATTTGTCCATTTCTTTCCAGTTGTCCAGTGTGTTGGCATATAATTTTTCATAGTATTCCCTGATAATTACAATGCACCCAATTTAAATGAATCAACACGTCAACAAATTGTAATACATGATTTTTTAACAAAGAGTACTAAAGTAGCTCATGTTCCGTTTAACTAAAATTATGGTGTTTTCAACAAAGAAATAGCTAACATGAGAAATAAGATTCCAATTTCAATCTGAAGTGGTTATTTGTGACAAGTACAATGAAACAATGATTTTATGACATCATTATCTTAAAGGGTGCCATTTTTCAGAAGTTACAAAGCACCAATACTCATGTAGAATAAGATCTTGAAAAGATGTAAACTTAAGGCAAAAGGGCTCCATTTTTTGAAAATTAATTATCTGAATAATCTGAATTTTTCTTTCAATAAATTAAAAGATCTTTCAACATGAAGGAAATATATACTATGTTCTGACACCTCAAATAATTCTGCAGACATTCAGCTCAGCTGAAAGCCTCTGTAGGACTACTTTCAAGAGCAAAAAGTGGAAACCAACAATCAAAAGCCCTTTCTATACTCACAGACAAGGACTCTGGATATGGGATTTAATGAATAAGAAGAAAATTTAAGTATCACAATAAAATACTGTTTAGAAAACAGAAAGGACTGGCAATATACAAGTTAGGAACAAAAGCATGTATATGTTTACCCCCACTCCCCAAATTGTTTAAATAAGCACTTGAATC